GAGGGGAGCAGTGGGCGGGTCAGGAGAGGTCTGCCACGCCATGTGGTCACTTCCGGGGCAGGCGGGAATCGAACTCATGCAGAAATGGCTTTAGCTTCTCAGTGCAGTGCTTTAACCCGCTGTGCCACCAGGGAAGGCCCTGTGGATCATGTTTTTAAGGGCAAATGTCATCTTTCAATCTGTGCACCACCTGAACATTTAAATTAATTTCTCACATCTCTTTTGCAAATCCTAGAATAAGTATATGTGTTATACTAGCTATAAGTGAATATATGTATGTACATGTATGTGAAAACTCCATGTTTAATTTTCTTTTGTCTGAAACCATAATGTGAGACTGATATGGGCTCATGCTATTCTGCTCTTGAAACATATTACACATTTATCTGTATTAATCAAACCATACTTCCTAAACAATGATAAACATATTTTGGGTGATAAATACATATTAACCAGAGCTCCATGATAATGAATATGCTAGAAATAAAATAAATATAATAATACATAGTCATAAAGTATGAAAACCTGAGATCAAGATGAGTTAACATATTATGTTTGTATTTGATGGCATGTCCTCATAACTCAGCCAACTAGAGAAAATCTTCAAACAACTATTACACAATGTTGGCAATAAATAAGCAATAAACCTTTATTTGTATTTGTGCTAGGTGATTTAACAAATAGGTTAACTAAACACAAATAGATAATTCTAAAAGGAAAATCCTGAGCTCTTGAGTTATGTGGCTCAATCTCCACTTGAATTTAACAGCTGCTTTATAAAAAGCATCTGTAAGTAGCAAGACTCTTAAGGTCCTGTGTATTGACATTGCCACCTACTGCTCATTCCAGATACAAACCAGTGTATGCAGAGGCAATAGGTACTTTGGATAAGAAACAGATTGCAGATTGCAGCACAAAGGAGTATGCTGAGAATTCTGGGTACCTTGGTGGTGAGTGTGGTATGGTAATATACACCTGAAGAGGTTAGTGTACTGTTTCTGAAACATTGCAATGTTGTAAACCAATGGTAATAATTAAATATAATCATACTTAAAAAGTCAGAATATGACATCTTGGGAAATCATCAACCACTGGTAGGATTATATGGTAAATCGTTTCACTCCTGCAGTCAGAGCAGAGGCAGTGGGGCACTTGTTAATGTGGAAAATTAGGTGAAATTTTTTATTTTACTGCATTTTCACCACTTGGAATATACTGGCTTATAGAATTTTTTTTTTAAGATTTATTTATTTATTCATACAGAAATGGGGTACAGGCCAGAAATGTGGAGGGTAAGAGGATTCACCAGAGACAGAGTGGGGAGCAGAACAGGCAGATCGACCAAGTACACTGCTGAGGGAAGCAACGGGCGGGTCAGGAGAGGTCTGCCACGCAATGTGGATCTCCTCCGGGACAGGCAGATCCAACTCATGCGGAAGTGGCTTAAGCTTTTTAGTGCTACCCTTTAACCCTCTGCGCCACCAGGGAGGGCCGGCTCATAGAATTTTTATGTTTTATTTTTTTTTTCTGCTGTACCTCCAGCATTTAGAACAGTACCTGACATATAGTAAGGATTTATTAACGAATCACTAAAGAGTAATTATTCTCATTAATTTTCCATGTATTGTATAGCAACTTCAGTAAAAGAAATTACTGTGACTTTTTTTCCTAGTAAGTAAGACTATCTCTATTTAGAATTGGGAGCAAGAGAAATTAATGAAAATGTAAAGGGGGGGGGGATGAGATTTTCAGATGATTGTAACAAAAGTACCAAAAACAAAGAAAAAATCTGGATAAAAAACATCTAGTGTGTCGTGTTCCTACCCATCTTGCTGGTGAGTCAGAAATATCTCTTTTTCCAGGCCCTTAATGGTGGCATAATGGGTTAAAGTGCAGCATTATGTGAAGCTAGCCACAGCCACTTCAGCATGAGTTCCATCCCTGACCAGGGAGGTGACCCACATGGCATGGCAGACCTCTCCTGACTGCCTGCTGCTCCCCTCAGCAGCACTCTTTGTAGATCTACCTGTTCTGCCCCATGCTCTGTCTCTGGTGAATCCTCTCACTACTTCTGCATCTCTGGCCTGTACCTCAGTTCTGAAAGCATAAATAAATCTTAAAAAGAAAAAGAAATGTCTCTCTTTCTCTGCCTGACCTCTTTATCTGGCCCATTTTCACAATCTGGGTTTGCAGCCACCAACTTTCAGGGCTGAGGAAATGTCTCCACTGAGACAAAGTGCAAAATATGGTCCTACTTGCTGTAAAATGGCAGATTCTCTAAGCTTAGGGTTCCTCTTCTGAACCTTACCTGCTGTGGGAGGAATCACCCATTGGGCCCATCTCATAACCCCATGGAAACTGGGGTTTAGAGAACTGGTGTGACATGCTGATACTGCTTTTTCTATGAGCAATAAGTCTTTCAAAACTGATTCAGAAGCCATGGTGCCTTCTGTCAGTACTCATGAAGCTGTGACAAGTTAACACGCTCGCCTGAAAGCTGGGTAAAATCTCAGACTCTCACAATGTTGGCAGCAGTTCTTCCCCAAGTAATATGGAGGCTCAGTGTTAGAAAAGCCCATAATATAATCAAGGCACGAAGTGAATTTCAAAAGGAAAAATCAATGCTTCAGAGACAGATTTATGATATAAAATAAAAAGTTTCTCCATTAGGTAAACAGAATTTCTGACTAGAAAAAAATATTTTAAGGGATTTTGAAATTGTATTAATGTCTTCAAACCAGCTCTTTATTCTAATTTGCGTTATTTATGAGTATTATACAAAAAAATGGGTAAAATGGTGAACTTTTTGAACATCTGGAAATTCACAATATAAATCATATAAAAATACCATTTACTAATCATGATAACAGTTCTTAAATGAATTTGCTTATTACATAACTTCTTAATTTTTATTTCTTAATAATATGGTGAATAATTTATTCCAAGATAATGATTAGACATCTACTTTCTAAATTCCATCTTCTATTTTTGCAAAGGTAAAAATATCCATCATCTTTCACACATCGCTCTTAGCTTTAGGGTTTCATATTATTTCCTTGATACTTTGAAAAGGGAAAAATAATCCTGTACATTTCTACATACCACTTGGCTGTACTAGATGCTCTACATTGAGATGAATCCCAAGAAGTATTATTATAATTTGAATGCCATGTTTTCAAATGATGAAACAGGGAATCTAAATCTCTGGAATTGTAATATCATTTCTTAGAATTCAACCTGAGTTGTTATATTGAGAAAGTCACTACTCTGTTCTTCACTTTTTTAAAAAAATATTTATTTAAGCATACAGAACTGGGGTACAGACCAGAGATATAGGTGGGCTAGAGATGTAGGGGTGGTAAGAGAATTCACCATAGACAGTGGGGAGCAGAACAGGCAGACTGACAAAGAACACTGCTGAGGGGAGCAGCAGGTGGGTCAGGAGAGTTCTGTTCCGGAGGTGATGTGGATCACCTCTAGAGCAGGTATCGAACTCATGATGAAGTGGCTTTAGCTTCTCAGTGCTGCACTTTAACCTGCTGTGCTACCAGGGAAGGCCCTGTTCACCTTTTAAAAAATTATAATTGCAAGAGATATAGCTCTTTTTCCCTCAAAGCCCAGAAAGTATAGGAAGAAAGACCTCATGGTAAAGGTATACCAAACACTATGAACAGAGAAAGCAAATGTGAGAGAATGAAAGTGAAAGAAAGTGAGAGGAAAAAAAAACCTTTATTTTGCAGGTCTATAAAGTACAGGGCTTGTGTTATAAGCATTGTTTTATTGTAGCAACACACTTTCCTTAGAAATAGTTGGTTGACAGGTGACCCTTTCAGTCTGCAGAATGAGGACATAATATAAGAAGTCTCTTTTTCAGACAGGGCTGCTGAAGAGAAAGGTAACTAGCACTACCTACTTAATGCCACCAGGAATGTGCTATGCCTTTTCTTCTCTTCAAATAAGAAATTCAAAACAAGTAATTTAACAATAAATATTGAATTAAATTTTTACTGTTACTCTGACATCTCTATTAGAATTTTCCTAGTGTTCATACTTTTCAAAAAGTTTCTTATTATTAAAGAAAATAAAAACAAAGTAACTGTTTTGACACATACTAGGATATTGCATTCAGAGTACTGATGTTAATGACTTTAAATCACAATATACCTAGCTTCTGGCTCCCCATTTACTTCCTGCCATATTATCCTGTTTAAAATACAACAATAAAATTTAAGGCTTTTGATAATTCCAGTAAGGCAGATGAAGGCAGAGAGGTTGGAAAAGTTAGGAAAAAAATTCAAGTTTTAAATAACATCACCAGTCTCAGATATTAAGCTCTACTCAAGTAATATGAACTCATGAACACTACAGTCAGCTGGAGCTAACTGCTACAATCAATATGAAATGAATCAACCTGGAGACATAGAACATTTCTCCAGGGCAAGAACACCCAGAAAACAGTAAGCAAGATTTCCCTTTTGCTGACTTTAAAAAGCCAAGACAGGTGAAAGCTCTGTTTCTAGTTTTATATTTTGCATACAAAGGCCTTCAGTATTCATGTATCTTTCTCTGTTAAATATAAAGGGGGCTTAAAAAGGGAGAAAGACCTTTAGATAAAAGCTTGAAGCTTTTTTTTATAACCTGATACATTTTGTGATTTTTCCCTTCCTCCAGGGAAAACACTACAATATGGACAGAAGTATCTCCCTCCCCAAATAGAACTATGCCAGCTCTAAAATAAAACCCCTATAAAGAATTTTCTTAAATAAAGTGACCCTTTACATGTCAAAGTGGAGTCTCTTAGTTTTGAGAACCAAATAATGGCCACAATAGGAATATTGTTTAAAAGCTCTTTTTGTAGCCCTCAATTTTGAAACCCCACCTGGAGTCTCAGCCTCTTGCCTGTGTTCCCACCTATTGAAGTGATGGGTCTCTAACTAGCCTGCCCTGTTGACCTAAAATTCCCAATTTGACCTCACACTGACCTTGTTGGCGCTGTTAAAAAAATTATTTGTCTTCTTTAACCAGGTTTCCTTCTCCACCATGAGCAAATCAAATTCTTCTTGAAGCTGGTTCAGTTTCTGGTTAGAAAGTTGTAGATGTTCTTTTTCTACATTGTCTTTGGACAGCAGAATGTTCAGGGCCTCACTCTTTAGCTTCTCAACAGCAGAATTCCACTCCTGCAAGAGATCATGCTCTTTATTTTACACATCACCCCATTTGTAAAGTCTTATAAAGTTCAGAAAACATTTAGATGCATTAATGTATCAGAAACTAGCTGTTTTTTGAAATTACAGAGGAAATCCTACACTGCAGGTTTGAGTACCAAGATGGAGATAAAAATAAACAATGGCATAGGAAAGAGGCTATAAAGGGTAAGATGAGAGTAGCAAATCGGTGGGGATGTGTGACTGGTCTGGCTGTCCCAATACGGGTCACTTACACTCGGTTAACATTATCTGAATTCTTACCCAAAAGACATACCCAAATAAGCCAAAAGCATTTTTCAACCTCTAATTCATTTTGACCTATATTTATTCACTTAAGTATAAAAACGTATCTCTCCTCCAACAATTCAATCTCATTGCTACTGTGGGCAAATATGGGTAAAAGGGAAGGAGAAGCTCATATTTTATATCTGTAGCTTTTGGGTCTGCGTATACTTAGGACTGAAATTAAGCTCTGTTTTTCTCCATAAAATTAATAGCTATTATTGTGCAGTAGCCTTCCTTTATGACTTCAGCTTCACCTCTCAATGCTTCACTCTTACCGATATAAAAACACTTCAAAAAATGAAAAGAGGAAGCTTTTAACTTTCTGTGGCGTAAGGATGAAAAACAGTAAGTAGAGAAAAGAGAACATAAGACTTGGAGTCAGTCAAACATATTAACATTCAACTTATTTGAAGGAAAATTCAAACTTCTTGCAAAGGGCTGAAGTCAGATCCAATTTCATAAAATAATCTTATGTCTAACAGGGCAGTCTTGAGTGAATTTTCTAGTACTTATTTCAGCTGTGATATAAGTGGTAAACAAAGACTATTTGTTAAAGCATCAGCTATTTAGCACAAAATTTCAAAAAAGGTTGAGATCTGACCTCACTTGTTCTTCAATGCAAATATGCTATTTTAAGTTATATTTGTTATATCATATAAAGCAAGTATAGCTTTAGTACAGCTATGGTTTCAATTCATTTATTTCATAAGATGTACTGATATTGATGTCTTAGGAAATAATAAGCAAAAAAATAAAATGTAGTTCTTTCTTTTAACAATACATAACATTATTTTATGTAATCATCATATTATTTGCATTATTAAAAGTATTAAATATTGTTAATACACACAATGTAGTAGTGTTTTAAATAATAATTAGGGAATGTTGTAGGTAAAAATTTCTACATTCACACAATACTTTATTTCACATAATACTGTTCTAGTCTTTTTGCAAGGGAAAAATATTTCAAGCAATAGATAAGTAAGATTAGATGAAGGGTTTGGCAGTTTTTTGTAGTACCTTGTGGATTATAATTCTCACAAATTTAGGTTAGATACTATTTTCCCTGTATTTATATATGCTCAGAGGAGTATGTTACTCAAGATTATATATCTAAGAAGTGACAGAACTAGTAGTTCATAGCCAGTGAGTAATGCTACATTCTGGGGAACTGAAGCTACAGAAACTCCCAAATTTCAAAATTTCTCAGTGAATGTAAAAGCTATATTCTTTAGCATGAATATGGTTTATGTGAGTTCTCAAGAGCATCATACTTTTAAAGAGTCATGCATCCCCATTTAAGGAGTTAATATGTATCATGCTGTTCTTTTGTAAAGTACTGTAAATATCCCTCTCACTCAAGAAATATTACCATAACCTTACGGGGAAAAGAACAAATATTTTTAAAGCAGTTACTATAATTTCTGGCACATATAATAGACACTCATTAAATGTAAGCCCCACTTTCCTCCTCAGTTCTAAAATAGCAATAATAGGGAGAATCTCCAGACGTTATTGATCAATATCATGTACTGATCAGTATGAGATAAACAAAAATAAAGGAGATCTCTTTATTGCAGTTCTCACAATCTTTCTTATGTTGATGTGTATTGAAGCTCTCAATATGTTAATGTGTTGAGAGTAAAATAGTGCAAAACATTTGGAAAATTATTTTTTGGAAAATGAATGCCACTCATCCCAGGGGACCAGTAACACAGTGGGCATGATGCTTGGGGTGCACTCTTCTTGTGGCTAAGAGCAGCTGCATCACCTGTTGGTTCACCTGCTTTTATGAGACTGTTTCTTTCCTTTGTTTTCCCCTTATCCCTCTAACTACTCAATGAATTCATTTCTTCTTATTTGTATCCACTCTCTTGTTTTCTATCTACTAATTTCTGTGAGCTGTTCTCAATGAAGAATATTCTCAGTGAAGATTTTCTCAGGGCCAAAATACACATAATAAAGCAGGTATTTCCTTAAAAGTTGGCATTGACCAGAACCTTCTGTGTTCATCAGAGAATGAACCACTTAGTAAAGAGAAACTGCAGAAAGCCTTGAAAACTAGGGGCAAAGAAAACAGAATTTAGGAGATGGAAAAGATTACAGTTAGTCAATCTGGAAACACTAAACTGTAGGATATTACTTTGTCAACAAGATAGTAAGATTTGAACATCATCACCACAGCCCCTGGCCAAAGTGGGGAAGAGGAGGAAGTAAACATCATTTTAAAATGAATGATAAGGTAGGGCCCTCCCTGGTGGCACAGCAGGTTAAGCACTGCGCCAAGAAAGCACTGCACTAAGAAGATTAAGCCACTTCCTCATGAGTTTGATCCCCGCCTGCCCCGGAGGTGACCACATGGCGCGGCAGACCTCTCCTGACCAGCCCGCTGCTCCCCTCAGCAGTGTACTGCATTGATCTGCCTGTTCTGCTCCCCACTCTGTCTCTGGTGAATCCTCTCACCCTCCGCATCTCTGGCCTGTACACCAGTTCTGTATAAATAAATAAATAAATCTTTAAAAAAAATGAATGATAAGGTAAATAGATAAGTAAACTAATCAAAAAAAAGAAAGAAAAGAAAAAGAAAGACAGTAAGACCTGATTTTCCTTCCTAGAACTTTGCTAAATGCATTATACAGGTTATCTCATAATCTTAGACACACCCTCCACAAGATAGGGGCTGTTATCATGTTCATTCCACAAATGTGGTAAATGAGGTTTAGAGGGATTAAGAATTTATCCAAGGCCTCAATTTTAGTAAGAGAACTGGAATTTAAATTCAGATAGTTTGACTCTAGAAACCACTTTTTCAAATCCAACTTCAGCTCTTCCTAGTGTTTTCCAGCACCCCCTACACCACTACGGAAAGATTAAATGTATCAGTTTAAAGGTAAGATTTCCATAAAACTAGATAAGGTCTAGGAAATGATAAAGGTCTTTTATGACCCTGAGATTTCTGATTTGAAATTAGAAGCTTCATGGTTTCTAAGTAAACACAATGCTGTTGCGGAGATAATTGAGAATTTACAGTCCAAATTCAAGCTTAATTTTGCTTAGCAACTGGAGCAAAAAATAAAGCTGTTCTCTGTGAATAAGAAGAGAAATACCTGTGAGCAGTTCACAGTGTCCATAAATCTGCCTTTAGTATACATTTTGCCAACAACATTAAAGAGATACTTTGGAGTACAGCCAAGTTTTGAAAACCCACTTTAACCTTGTGTTTCAGTGTTATGAAAAGTGGGCTGTGACCTTCCAAGGAAACTGTAAAGGACCATTTTCTGCCTCTTATCTTTTCTTATTCTCCATCTCCAGTCTTCTTAATTACATTTTCACATGAACTCTGTGGGTATTAAATGAAGCTGGGTCCATTCAATATTTCTATTCAATCTTCTCAGAAAATTGGTTCTGTTTTCTTTGGGCAAACAATCTATAGGCAGTTTCTGGTGCATTTCTATACCATTCTGATGATGTATTTCCCCAGACATTCTCTTAGGGGACACTTCCACTATTTTATGTTTAAGATAAAACTTTCCAAAGTTATTTGAATACATCATACCATATAAAAAATTTAGTTGTCATTGTTGTCAAGGTCAGAGAAGCCCAGTGCAGAGAAACTTGGTCCATTTTTTCTCAGCCTTAACTGCCTGACTACTAAGTGTTAAGCTTCTGAATCTTTTAGTCACTTTGCAATAAAATATTTCCAGTACTTGTCCTCATCAGCAGAAAGCCAGAGGATGCCATTTCCTTGGCTTTTCAGCTTGACAGAGATATGTGCATATCTCTGACCCCTGAGAAACATGTAGAACTGTGTGTTCCTGAGCTCATGGTATCTCCACATGTCACCCATTATTTTCCTTTTCCACTCACAGTAGTAACACTTTTAAGCTATAACTTTCTGTATTCCATTTGCTGCAAAAATTGAAGTTCTCTTGGATCTGTAGATTGAAAGGGTAGTTTTAAGAAGATTAGTGCTGACAGACAAGAAAGTGAAAATGATTTCCTCTTTCCCTCTCTTATAACAATAGTTATCAGGTAAGCGCTTCAAATGAATTTATGGACTAGCATAAAAATTATCCTGCAAGTAGATTTAAAAGTAAAAATATTAGCTACTCCAGTTGAAACAAAATATCATCAAAATGTGTTTAATAAGCTTGGGACCTTCCCTATAGAGAAAGGACCTTTAAAGGTCCAGCACTTTGCCATAAATTATGTTCAGAATAACCTTGACTTCAGAGTATGATTTTTAAGTTGGATAAGATGGACAAGAAGCAATCTGCAATGTATAAAAAAATATTAAGAAAAAATCAGTTGTAGAGATGCCCATTTCTCCTCCAGTATCTAAGTCTTGCACACCAAGTAGAATTAACTCACTGACAAAATCATAGAACTTTACATGATTGTGTTAACAGATGGTACAAAGTAATTCCATCAGAGAATATTTGAATAGGTCTTGAGCAGAACGTAAAAATATTTGTGTTTCTGAAGAGTGGCAGTGGGTCCTTGAAAAGCCAAGACTCTGACCATGAGTTGAACTGCAAACCAAGTCAGTTTCCTCTCCTGCTGTTGGCAGGCATTTCTATAATGATTTATACAGAAGTCATGGTCATCAGAAAGATGGGTGTCAACCAACCCTTGGATGAGTGCAGAGTTTAGTGTCCATGGACTCATCAAACTGTACCCTCACT